TTTTGACCCATGAAATGCAATTAACTTAGATCTACTGTAACTGGCATCATGTGGCAGCTGGAGTCTTTATTACAAGGCAGTTCCAACAACCAGAATTGAGGAAGGGCTTCAATCATCCTGGGCAAGTGAAAACACAGAATATCTGCCCCTGGAATATCTGATTGTATGTACTGTGACCATAATCATTGGGAAAAATGARGCCAGACATACATTTTTAAACATTTTCTTTAAATTTCAAGGGCATGATCTGCAAATTTTATCATCCTGGACTCTCTCTAATYCCCCAAAATAAATCCAGTAACAATCAGTACCACACAGACATACTTGGTGTGACTTCCAGAGCAATCCTGTACACTCCTGGAGGCTATGGCTGTATTTGTGTTGCCTAAAAAAACRTTATAAAAATGCTTCCAACTAAGCTGTTCCAAGAATGTTATTGGCTGTAGTAGAGCCTCTGAAATCTGGCACAGCAACACCCCCTCAAGCTACAGAAGTCTTTTCTTTGTCCCAGGAAATCTCATGTATATTTAGCAGAGTTAAATTTAAATTATTATTTTCCTCCTCTGCTTGTGCTCCCCAGCAACAAAGAAACAGTAATTGAGGTGGATGTTTTGTGAAACCACAACGTGAGACAACAGAACCACAACTCCCTGTGTTAAAATACTTGTCTGCACTCCAGCTGAGCCACTTCCCAGCGAACATAACCTTGCCTTTTGGGTGCAGGGAACCACCACAAACTTTCTGTACCTMGTCTGGGGCCACAGCTACCTCATCTCCAAGGATATTTTTCTTTTTGCCCCACTTCTTGATTCCCAGGCCTTCTTCAACAGTTGCTCCCGGGACTTGGCTGCAGCTCTGCTCGTCTGAAGCTCATTTCTGCCCAGGAAAATCCACAGTAATGCCTTTCCCTTCCTGCAACCACTCCTGTTAGAGGGAAAAGGGACATTTTGATCCCCCCACATCTGCTCTGGGCATGCCCAGCCTGATTTGTATCCCCAGGAACTCTGGGAGTCCTGAGCCATCAGCTCCTCTCTGAAGCTCAGCACAAAACCATTCCCAGTGCACCATTCACTCTTCATTCCYTCAAAGACTTCCCTGCAAAAACCACTGAAGAATCAATGCTTTTCCTTTTCAGAGATTATCCACAATAACCTATGGGASCTCCTGCCAGCAGCTGTGGTTTTATCCTTGCTGGAAATGTCATTTGCTGTTACAAGAATTCCACCAGCCCCTCAGAGCTGCTACTAAAAATGAAAACAAACCTTCTGTGGAATACTATTGAGAGAAAGCACCTTTTTCCAAAATGCCAAACTGCACTGAGCCTCCCCAGCTGCTTCCCAGGAACAGATGTGCTCCCTGCTCCTGGCCTGGGATGCAGCTTCAAGCCAATCACAATTCCCTGGATACAGGTCTGCTCTTTGGGCTGGCATTTGGTGAGTCARTCCCAGATGTTTCTGGGTTTGTTTTCATAAAGCACATGTTCTAAGAGATTGATTCTGATATCTCACTCCAAAGCACTTATTCTCAGAAAGATTTTCAAACCTCAGGTGTCCATAAATAAACATAACCCCRTTTCAGCTCTAAACCCAGTTCTGATTCCATTCAACTCCTTCTCCAGCTGCTCAAGTGCCATCTTCACCCTTCAGAGACACAGCAAACATTTTCCTTAGAAGTCAATGGGCTTTAACTGGCTTCTGCAGCCCAAGCTGCATTTCATTAGAGAAGGGAAAGAGATGCTGAAGCAGACCAGAGCACAGGGGGCCACTTGTGGGTACTCATTGAATGTGCTGAAATGGAAATGAATTCTTTTTACTGTTCTTTGTGCAAATGAGCACCCAAAGTGATCTGAGGTGAGGAGGTGCTGGACACTTGGCAGGACAATAGTGCTTTAAGCATCARCCTCACCTCCCAGCTGCAACAATCCCATTCCAATAAAACACCCCTCCAGTGCCACAGCCCTGCTAGAGCTGTTTTCCTACTTTAACTGTAGTTTTACGAATCGCCATGGAAATGCTGCTCATTTGGACAGTTGCTTGGCATACCAACAGATGGAGTATGTTAATCAGTTTTTAAGGATATGCTAAAAGCTGGGATAATTTGAGTTCTGTGTTCAGAATGTTTGCAAAAAAACACAAATTTGTAATACATTTTAAAAAAAAGGTTTATTCTGCTACAGTGGAAGGAAACAGGATCCCAGAACCTTTCATCAGAGTCTTTTAAAATTACCAATTTTCTGTAATGCTGAATAGATTATTAAATCAGACTGTCTTCTTATCTTTGGGTTAAATTATGCACAAAAATAAATATGGCTAAGTTTATCTTTCATTTAAAAACCTGCTCTGGATTCTGATCAAAATACTTGGCTGGAACRACGCAGACTTTTTATTGCTTTAACTGATAAAAGTGCCATGGCAGTAACAGTACAACATTGGTTCTAAAAATACCACAYGTGGGGCTCCTAAACTTTCCAACTTCACAGCAGGAAAAAAAGGGAAGCAAATATTCAGCAAYTTCTTTGCAAAGTGGAATGCCTGAAGGGAAGAAGAAAGTCAAATGTCTATGATGGATTTAATCAGCAAGGATGCTGTGTCCTAGGCTGTAACAGCACAAGGGTTGAACCAGCAGTTTTTGAGGTTCCTGTGTGTATTTTCTCCCTTGATAAAGGCTGTCATGCTGCTGCTTACACTCATCTGCAGCACCACCGGTTCTGACCATTCTTCCTTGGAAAATGTTAACACCTTCCAGAACCACTATGATTTTATATTATCAAACCTCTGCACATTTTTATGAAATCCTGGTAATGCTAAAAGTCATTCAATTACATCAGTTTTTCTTCTCTATGATGTAGGAAAAAGTCCATAAATGCTGGCTGTGTTACTTCTTCTTGATTATCTTAATGAATATAAGAGTTTGCTATTTTATAACTATTATTTTGTTAAATAACCATTATGTATATTAATCTGGTTAGTGGCAGACAAATGGAAAAGATGAATAAAAAGATCTGGAAGGTTTTGATACAACAAATAAATTTTCTTTGGATCCTTCACTTTCTCCATGGTAGGTACAGTGATTAAGACTTTTGTGATTCCTCTGTGCTTCAGGACAAAACAACACGAGTGCTCCAGGGAGTGATCTCCCCATTCACACCGGACCGTGGGCAGAGAAGCCAAGATCTTGTCAGAAGCTGAGCTGAACATGCCATGGGATTCATTATTAAAACACACAATGTAAGATTAGAGCCAGGGAGAGGGAGTGGGAATAACCAGGAAAAGAACAGACTAGGAYAGGATCACGGGGAATGGAACACAGATGAAATTAAATGGCAAATTAATTGGAAAAAGAAAACTCCCTGGTATTGCCTCAGTTCCCAGATATGCAAASGAAACCACGAAAAATGTGCAGGGGCCAGTTCTGACCTTGAACTCTGAGGAGCTGGGAAATCAAACAAATTYTAACAGGAACAGCTGAAACAGGAGAGGGGGAAACACCACTGAGCACTGTGTGGAGAGATTTTTGAGCTGACTCTTACAGGCTGATACAAAACCAAAGTGTGTGAAATCCAAGTATAATTCTGAGCTCAAATCTATCACATTTATATTGTATTTCCATTATGTAGACAAACCTTTTCTGGCTCACAGTGGTCACGTTAGCACAGAGCAAGCGTAACCAGAAGGAACAAGCTGGAAGGAACAAGCTGAACAGGGCAGACTCAAACCCTGGAACTATCCAGCTTCACAAGGAGGAACATTTGCAGTGCTGGGTTTGGAATGTGAATCTGCACTGCCATCTGCAGAGAGCAGGYTGGCAAATTAATGGGCTATCAGTGTAGCAGCAATTAAAGTGCTGAAGTGCAAATATTGGTACGAAAGGTAAGGAATCAAGTGGGAAAGAGAAAGCTGTGATAYCATTGTCACAGCTGACATTCTGCACCATGTATGCTGTGTCTCATGAAGGTATTTTATACCTTATTTCTTAAACATTGCTCTTTTTACTTCTTTTAGGAGGAAAACCAATCCCTTTCTGTTTCTCCCACATCCTCCCCACACCATTTGCAGCTGGAGGTACTTGGATTGTGCCCAGGAGCTCACTGTGAACCTCTGCAGCCCGAGGTGCTTGGCCACAGCAGCACAGCACAACTGCCACTAAATMCCAGCACAGGGAGTAAAGCCAAGCCCAAAGTCTCTTAGCGGGTGAACACCTGCACGCCTGACTCTGCTGTGATCTCTCCGCTCACTCCAAGGGAGCAGCTGCAGCCAGAGCTGGTTCCATGCTTCAGCCCAGCTCTGTGTCCCATTTCCCCCGATGAGAACCAGCGGCACAGCAACAATAATGGGGTGAGATGGAATCTGCACGGGATTAAAAGCGTTATCTGAGTGTTTCATATAAAACAAATGATTGACCCCCTCACTTCGCTCTGAGGACACGCTTTGTTCCCTGAGGGAGCACATCCCAGGTGCGGGGCTGAGAAGCCCACGATGCTCCTGCCCCACAGCGCTGGAGCCCCTCAGCCCTGGAGCAGGCTGGGAGAGCTGGGGGGGCTCACCTGGAAACGAGAAACTCCTGAGAGACTCCAGAGTCCCTTCCAGGGCCCAACGGGGCTCCAGGAGAGCTGGACAGGRACTGGGGACAAGGGCCTGGAGGAACAGGACACAGGGAATGGCTTCCCACTGCCAGAGGGGAGGGTTAGAGGGAATATTGGGAAGACACTGTTTCATGTCAGCATGGTGAAGCMCTGGCACAGGGTGCCCRGAGAAGCTGTGKCTGYCCCTGGATCCCTGGAAGTGTCCAAGGCCAGGTTCGACGGGGCTCTGAGAATGGAAAGCGTCCCTGCGCATCGCAGGGGGCGACATTGGGAGGTTTTTAATACCCTCTAGCGCGACTCCATCGCAATGCCCCTCACCCGGCTCGTCCCTCTGGTACAAGCCGCCCTGAGGGCAGGGACCAGGCTGTCGCGAGAGCTCCGCGGGCTCCTCTCGCGAGAGGCGGAAGGGGCGGTCGGTGGGCGGGGCGCCGCGGTGGCGGCTCGGCCGGTCGGTCGGTCGGTCCATCACGGCCCGGCGGCAGCGGCGCGGCCGGGACCGGCACTGGGACCGGCACAGCCCTGCTGGCTCTGCCCGCTCCTCTCGGACTCTCCACTCCGCCATTCTCTCCTGGCTCCCCTACCCAGCCGCCCTCAGGGCGTCTTCCCTTTCCTTAGCCCTCCCCCCACCTCACGCCCCCTCCCCAGGGACCCCTTAATCCTCCCCGGTTCATTCCCTCATCCCCCCCTCAGGTCACTCCCTTCCCGTCACATCCCCTCGCACCCTTAGGGCCCCTCTGAGCGCCCTCCCCGGTGCCCCTGAAGCCCTCGCCCTCGGCCTCCCCCATGGTGGGGTTCGGGGCGAACCGCCGGGGCGGCCGCCTGCCCTCGCTGGTGCTCGTGGCGCTGCTGGCGGTGATCGCCGTGCTCGCCTTCCACTGCTGGAACGCGGCGTCCCGCCAGGCCCTGCTGCGGGAGGAGCTGGCCGAGCTGCAGAGCCAGGCCCAGCGCACCGAGGTGGCGCGGGGCCGCCTGGAGCGGCGGAACTCCGACCTCCTGGGCAAGGTGGACTCGCACAGGAAACAGCTGGAACAGAAGGAGGCGGACTACAGCCACCTGAGCAGCCAGCTGCAGGCCAGGGACGGCCAGGTGAAGAGGTGCGAGGACGGCAAGGTAAGGGGAGAGGGCGGCGGGGGGGTCCCGGTGCCCTGAGGGGCGGCTCAGCCCGGGCACTGTTAGTCCTCGCTTGCCCAAGGCTGCCCAAGGTGTCCCCGCAGTYTCTGCAGCCCGGGAGTGAATCAAGGCCCCGAGGCGCAGGTTTGGTGCTGCTGGGACAACTGCAGCACACTCGGGTTTCTGAAAACGAACCCAAGAGGAGCTGAAGATGTCCAGTCTCTGTGAACAGTGAAAATCCCGAGAGACCACTCTTTGCTAGACGGCTTTTTCAAATTTACGTTTTGGGTCTTTTTTGTAGCCTTCTGTCTCTGCTGAGATTACTTGATTATTTTTGTGATCAGTGAAAAAAACAGATACAGCCGTAAAACTACAGTTTCAAGGGAAATTAAACCAGTGTGGTGTTCAGTAGCACCCTCAGCTTGCCTCTTGGAATGCCTGGTACAGCACACTCTGATTTTTATGCTGCCAGCGTGTACTTGGGAAAAAAAAAAACAACAACCCTGCTGCTGACTAACGTGTCATTTTCCTTGGCTTGGAGAAGTCAAGCTCATAGAAAATTCAGCTGGCCCTTTCAGTGGGGGTGACCTGGGGATTTCTTTTGTTGTGGAAGATGAGTGAATGCCTCAGCTTCCACTTTCATACCTGTCCTGAATTGGGCGGTTCACAGGGCTCAGCACACCAGTCCTGCTCAGGGGGGATGCGGGGTRTATTAGCATGCAGGTCATCACTCTGCTCATTGAACACTGTTCTCACAGTAGGATTTATGGAAATGTCACACTCTCCAGGGTTATTGCTGGCTAGGTTTGTTTTTCTTGCCGTTTCTTATCACACATTCAATGAGCAGCCTCAGAAAATGCATGTACTTGTCACAGAAAAAGCTATATAAGTACATGCACCATTCCAGAGTTAGTCTCCTTCAAACTGATTAAGTTGGTATTAAAGTTCCCTACTGAACTGTTAAAATGAAGCCCTTTGTGTGTTCAGCATACGTATTTTTAATTTTTATTTTTCCTGAGATTGCARTAAAAAGTCCAATTGGATATGAAATTGATTCCATGATCTTTGAGGTGTTTTCCAGCCTCAGTGATTCAGTGATTCTAAAGCATTTGGGGTTTAGCCAAGATACTTCCCCTTCTGTCTGCAAAAGGGCAGTCAGCTTGTTTTAGTGTAACTGCCTGTGGGTGTAAAACTCCCCTGGCAGGATTCAGGTAAGCTATCAGGAACAATTCAGAAAGAATTGCTTCCTGGAAAGGGTGGTCAGGCACTGGAACTGCCCAGGAARGTGGTGGAGTCCCCATYCCTGGAGGTGTCCAAGGAAGGACTGGAAGGCGTGGACATGGTACTCAGTGCTCTGGGCTGGTGACAAGGTGGGGATTGGCCACAGCTTGGACTCCATGGTCTGGGAGGACTTTTCTACCCTCACGGATTCTGTGATCAGTTGCTGGGCTGCATGGCAAGGTGTGCTTTTAATGCAAAAAAAATTGTATTTTTAAAAGAATCTGTGATGTGTTCCTGTGGGACACTGAGGGAGAAGATTTAGGTCTAAATCAGGGGGTGCAGCAATGGTTATTGGAGCTGTGGCCTGCTCAGATGCACAATCTGCAAGCAGGTGCTGCTGGGCTGCCCCTGCCTGCCCRCCACTGTGGTGTTCCCAAAGATCTGCCTGAGCTTTGGGTGCTCTGAGTGTGACATTGCACAGGACAGAGCAGGAGGGCAGCAAGAGAAACGTGCCTAGTAAACCTCCCAAATTAAATTTATTGATAATTGCCTGCAGTGTGTGTGTTCTCTGTCTTCCTTCTTTCTTCCAGAAGCTGCCAGTTAAGGCTATGTGAGCTCATAGCTCTTGAACATCCTCTCTTTTGTGTTCAAAATGTCCAGAGTGCCCTAAGAGGCCAGAATAGCGGGATTTTATAAAAAACCAGGYGCTGGCCTTTTTTCTTCCCATGTAAGCCACTGTCTTTTCTCAGTGGCAATGTTTGGGTTTTTTTCTAAAACACTTCAAGTGACTTACTTCTCTGAGAGTAGAAAATTAAACTTTGTTTTAGAGAATGAATGTCTGTCACAAGGAAAGAGTAGTAGGTATAGAGTGTCTGACTGAAAACAGCTTGAACGATAATTTTTTCCTTCTCAAAATAGAATTTGGAAAGTCTATTTGACCAAAATACTCTTTATCTGTGATCTTAGTCCTTTTGTGAAATGCAGGAGCTGAAACAAAATCCCAACACCGGCATCAAGTGATCCCAACAAATTCAGGCTCATTTGATGGAWAACTTATTTGAAGATTCAGCTCTGGTAGTTCTCAGTGTCAGCTCTGCTTTGTTCTCCTTTGTCCCTTAGCTGAGGTTCTTTGCCTTGTGGTCACATAAATCAAGTGCCTTTCCCAGTGCTGAGGCAACTCCAGTTTCTGCAGCAGCTTCCTCTTGGCTTAGGGATGTCTGGAGTCCCCTGGCTCGGGGATCTCTGGAGTCAAGGCCAAACCCTTGGCTCTCCCCTGTCCCTGCTTGTGGAATGAGCTTGTCACACTGCACCAGCGTGTTGTTTGCTCTTGGGAGCAAATGCGGGAGTGTGACTTGGTGTCTTGCATTTAAAAAGAAACAGAAAAAGCATGAATTCTGGGGAATTATTCTCTCCTGTCACCCTGTGGTGATCTCCTGAGGGTCTTTTGGACCTTGGAACAAATGAGGAATTCTCTTTTGGAGCTCTGTGTGAGTGGCAAACAGGGGAGATGCCTGTCCTGGAATTTGGGCAGGTGCTGCATCAGCTTTCTGAGTATTCCATGTTTTTTTTTTGCAGTGTGCCATTAGGCTTTGGGGTTTTTCCATAGCTTTGCACATCCATTTGCAGTAAGTGACTGGCAGGATTCCGTGGTGGAGAGGTTCCAGGTGGCAGGCGCCTAGCGTGCAGGAAGCACCTCTCATTCCATACCTGCTGCTGGCCATGCCAGGTGTGGAACACAGCCCTACCCTTACCTGCTGCCCAGAAATGCTTGGGATGAAGCTCAGTCAAACATTACTGGGAGCAGCTTGATCTGTTCTTTGTTGCCAAAACTCAGTAACTCCCCAGTTTGCAAAGCTGTAGCTTTACAGCAGAAATGTGGAGTTGTTATGCAGCAAGACTCACAACTCTTGACAGCATTGGAGGGTTGCCACATGTCCGTGCTCAGGATTTCTGATACTTTTTTCCGGTGCAGGGCTCATTGGGCTAGAGAGGGTTTATTTTCTCCATCCCAATTGCTTGGAAAGGCTCTGAGGAGCACCTGTGAGTTCAGCAATAAAAACAGGTCGAGATTGAAGGAGGACATGGCCCAGCAAGAACTGGACCTGTGCCATGGCACGTTGGAGTGTGGGTTTTGCATGTGTAGGTGGARCAGATCCCATGAATCATAAAAAACCTTCTTCCTTTTCTGTCCTTCAGATGAGGGACGTTTGCTGTCAGCTGAGCTGTTTTGGATATAAATTCTGTCACTTCTCTCTGAAACTGAAAATCACCAAAATGAAAGATTGTGTGATAAAAGTGCAGCASATTCCCATGCAGTTCCTGCTCACAGACAGCAGCTCTCGGCTAGCCATGCACATGGTTATGGGATGAGCAGGAGYTAGTGGGAAGGGTTTGTGTGTGAGGAATTCAGATAGCTGAGGGTCTGAAAACAGACTCTGCTACTTCCCACGATCTCTTTGTTTGTAGATTTATTGGGTTTTGGGAAACAACTGCATTAGAGTGGAAGACAGGAAAATGTGATTGTTGCCTGCCTGTGGTTCTGCGAAATAGGAGGATATAATTGTTCATCAACACAACAAATTGCTGTGTGTACCTGCTTCCCTGTCCCCTGTTGGAGGGGGAGCTGGCATAGTGGGTGGRGAGCTTGGTGGTGACTTGTGTCTCCTGCTTCCCTGTGTGGCCCTGCTGCAGGGCCAGTTGTGCTTTTGAGGTGAAACTGCAAGTCCAACCCAGGCTGTCACTGATGGGGTCTTGCTTTGTRAAGGGGCCTTGAATTTCTTGGTGGATAGAGCGTGAGGCAAACGTGGGTCTGACGTGCCAGGAGGCTCCTTGAGTGTCCCTGGGAGAGTAATTTTGTCCCTATATCAGAGCACTGTGGTCAGGGGGCTCAGGTTACCGAAAGATCACATTCCTGGTGGAATTAATAAATGCTGACAGAGTAACTGTGGAGCTGGACCTTGCAGTTATGTTCCAGGGTTTGGAAGAAATATGTTCAAGGCCATCGTGTTTATTTTGTTGTTTTTTTCTGCTCTGTCCCTAATTTTCCAGTTCTACTTGCTTTATTTTTTTGGGGAAAGCCTTGTGAAAGCAGCCCTGTGTCTTGTCCTAGGTGGGAGCTGTGGTGGTGCCTCTCCATGCACCAGGACCCTCTTAGCTTTTGTTCTGGGACAGAATTTGCCTGCACTCCTGTTTGCCCCCCTGGGATAAGCCAGGATCCTGCAGGCTGGCACAAAAAYTCTGCTGCCCAAAGAACCTCTGTTGTGTGCTGGGAGCTGTCAGATGTGTGCTCTGTGTACAGTGTGTGCTGCAGAAATGCACCATCTCTGAGGTTCCTGCATGGCTGGAGTTCCAAGTTGGGAATGCCTGATCATACCCACATTGGGCAAATGGATCAGCCTGACCAGAGTTCCTCTTGTAACAATAAAAACACARTGGGAAATATATTTAAAGAATGAATAATTCGATAAAAGGGAAGGCACAGGGTGGGGAAGTCCTGAAGTCAGGGCAGATGTGTTTTGGGTTTTTTGACAGGAAGTGGAGGTGACTGACTCAGACACTTCAGGGGCTGGGGGGTTGGAACTGAAACAGCCCCTGTGTCCGTGTGTGTGTCTGTGTGTCCCTGTGCATGTCCCAGTGTGCCCTGGCTGAGTGGCTGTGTTGGCACTGCAGTGTGCTGYTCCCAGAGGTGATGCTGACCTTGTCACCCACGCGTGACAGTCCTGCTCATCACCTGCATGCAGTTACCCTTTGTATTGCTGTGAAACTGCAAGGAAATCAACCACASCACCCGAGTGCCTGAGGGCAGGAGAGGATTTTTACTCACATTTTCAGGATATTCCACACACAAACCTTTCTCTTTATTCCTTCTGGGTTTTTTTGTCTTTATGTAACAAGACAAAGCATCTTTACTTCAAGGCTTTGTGTACATGCATTTCTTACTTATTGTAGCCATTTTTTTCCTTACTAAAAATGCCATATGAAAAGCTATTGTTGAAGTTTRCTGGTGTGAGATTCCCTCTCAAAATAAAATGTATGTTAGGGTGTTAGATAGCAACACATAAAAGATTTATTTAAACAGTTCTATATATTATATACCTTAGGTAACAATTTGTTTTGCTGTTGATGCTGTGTTTATTTTTATCCACCTGTGCTTTCACATTAGCTGTTTACAGTCCCTCCTGCAGTATCAGGATGCAGCRTATTTATTTTAGTCTGGACAATCTACTTTTTTTTGATATAAATATGTTCTGGAATTAAAATKGAAGCCCTCATTAGCAAAGCCTGAACACAGTGTTTAGTTTAGTGATGTCACAGATCACAAAATACACATTGCTTAGATTTACAGGAACTTCATGCACGTCACTCTGATAATCCTCTGCATGCATTGGTTTTACAAAGCAAACAGACACACCTGAGTCTTCAGAGCCCAGCCCTCCCCCCAGCCTGCTGGTCACCTGTATTTATCCAACCCTTTCTTCCTTCCAGATGAAGCTGCAGAACAACATCTCGTATCAGATGGCAGACATACATCGGCTAAAAGGTGAGGGCTTCATGGCCAAATTCATTTGGCAGGCTGAARTTGTGCATTTTAACTGCCTAAATGCTGCAGAATGCAGTTTAAATGAAGGATCTGGTGATGCTGGAACATCCCATGAGGTGAAATCTCATTGTATTTGTTTGTTACACGGTATGGGTAAGTGCAGAGTTTGTTCTCACTGACTTTGCTGCAGAAGGAATGTGTGTTCTGCCATGCTGACTTACAAGACAGTAGAATAATTTTCATGGCTAAATATATGTTTAGTAGTTTGATCAAAAAYGCTGTAATGGTTATGCTGGCTTAGAAAAAGTTCAGGAAACATCTCTGAAGTTCTGTACAGACATGATTATAATGCCTGTGGTGTTGCTGCACTCAAGAGTTCTTCAGAGTGAGCCAGAACATGCTCAGATGTGAACATGCCTGCACACAACATGTGTGGTTTCTGCCTCTACCCGTGTAGCTACAGCTTGAAATAGTAGRAGGCTTCATTATTTGTAGCCTGAGGAGCAGGGAGAACTTCAAGAGCAGTTRTGAAGACAGGAAATCCATGTTGGCTTTATGGATAGCAGGAAGTTGCCTCCTTTTGTACACTACTGCCAGACAAACAGAGTTTGAGCATCCTGCCTGAAGTAACCTGGCAGCACTTTTGTGTTACTCAGAGTGACAGAATCTTTCAGGAAAGATAATCTTCCAAAAGATAAGTGAAATAGCATTGTGCAAGGCTTCTGAATGCAAAGGTAAACAACCATTTAAGGGTTTGGCATAGTATCAGAAGAATTTGTGTCCAATTCATGCTGCCATCTGGCATACATGAGTAAAGTGGCATCTTCTTCAAATTGATTTTAGAATCTTTAAAGTATGTCTAGACATGAAACTTGAGCAATTTCTTACTTACTTAGCAATATTGGAAATTGTATCTGCCATGGGGCATTTTTTCTRTCTTTCTGTATTCATGTTGCTTTTTGCTTTTTGGCCTAGAACAACTGGCAGAGTTGCGGCAGGAATTCATCCGCCAGGAAGATCAGCTGCACGAGTACAAGAAGAACAACACATACCTGACAAGGAGGCTGGAATATGACAGGTATGTCCTCAGGAGTGTTGGTAACTGCAGATTGGTGCGTGGTGGAGACCTGTATTTACTAAAAAGTGCTAATTACTCTTGTGTCTGCTGATCCTCAAATGTGAATGTTCTCATTTGGTGATGCACCTGAGCAGTTAGATTTTCCAGTTCCGTTTCTTTGTGGTGTTGTAGTCCTTCCCCCAACGTGAGATAGGAGCTAAGGAAAATCTTGACTTAATGGAATTGTTCTGCATTTTTAAGTCAATGTATTTTTTATCACATGGAGAATTAGTTCACAAAGATGTGAAAGAGTTTAAAGGACACAGTCCTGTGTCATCAGCATTGTTAATTTCTGCCTTTCTAGTGGTGTAATTTCAGTTGTTTCAACTGAGGCTGAAAGCACCTTGGGTAGATTGAAATTTTAAGTTGACTTCAGCCTTTTAAGCTGATGATGGAGAAACAGGGAGAGCAAATACTCCTGCAGCTTTGAGGAGTGAGGAAGACTTAACACTTGAGAAAGCGTCTGAAACATTGACATAACACAAACTGTTGTTTCTGTGCAATGTTGATCGTTTGTGGGGCATGGGAGTTTTGGTGATTGGTCTGTCGTCATGGCTTGTTGGGGAAGTTGGGACACCTTGCTGTGTATTCAGATTGTGTTATTTGAGTTGAGAGCAGTAACTGATAGTGGAAGTTGTGCGCCTTCTCCGTTGACAGCCAGGGGAGACACATTGCTTTCCCAGTGGAATTAATATTTGCGGACAGATTAACGATGGAGCTTGACCTTTTGGTTGCATTCCAGCTTCTGGAGGAGCTATATTCAAGGCCATTCTGTTTATTTTACTGTTTTTTCTGCCCTGTGCCTGTTTTTTCCAGTTCTGCTTTCTTTCTGTATTCAGTCCATTCCCACTCCATACACATGCCAGCACCAGGCTTTTTGGACAGACCATTCTAGTTATATCTCAGGTTTGGCTTTTTGTGCCACTTCCTATTTTTTCCCTTATTTTATTACTGGGAGAGCAGATCCAACAAATGAAGTGTAACTAATTGTGTGTTTCTCCTCAAGCCTGCAGTGTGGGCAGCAGATCAAGGAAATGAGACTGCAGCATGAAGAGAACATCAAGAAATTAATGGACCAAATWGCACGGGAACAAAAGGTAATGCCAAGAAAGTTTGTGTTGATTGAGAAGAGCCCAAAGCCTGCTGTGTGCCTCAGAGATGTGAAGGCCTGGGATGTTTCTTCCCTAACTTTGTGTTCAGTATCCCCCTGAGCAGCTCTAAGTGGGTGTTAATGTAAGAAATCTGCCTATTGTCTCACTCAATGGACTGAGCTCGAAGCTGAGGCCAAATTCTTTGCTCTGCTCCTTTCTCCATGATGTCATTGCTGAGGATTTCAGTCCTTGCCTGTAATATGCATATTGTTATTCAGCTCTCCAGGGTGGGATCTKTGTCCTCACAGCCTCACACAGGTTATTGCAGAGGGAGCCTGAGCTCTGCCGTGGCCTCRAGGTGCTAATGTGATGCAAATTGTGATGGTATTGGAATGGTATTAAGGGTGTGATTACATGAATAGAGCTGCCAGTAAAATTTGGGCCACTTTCCTGCAAACAGATACTTAAAATTTTGTTTCCTTACTTTGTCTRTAAACATCTCAAATAATTGGTCAGACTAAGAGCAGATTTCAGTCACGTTTTCTCTTACAGTCTAGAATTGTTTCAAGGCTCTGACCTGAGGCTTAAGGCTGATGTTACCTTAACCTGTTTGTGTGTACTTAACCCCTGTGTATGGCAGTAGAAATGTCTTGCAGCTGTTCTRTATTGAACATTCTCTGTCCAGATGTGTGTCCAGATGCCCAGGGTCCAGCTTTATGCATTGAGGGCTCTGCTTCTTGCTTTGGTGATCATTGAAGTCATAAATGCAATTTTGCTTACCCAAAGTAATCTTGAATCTGAGGACGTAGTAATTTCCAGGGAAGTGTTTAATGTTGTCTCCTTTTTTGATCCAACAGGCCACACAAAAAATTCAGTCCAGTAAAGACACTGCAGTCAGTCCCAGCAATGGTGAGCAGGCAGTACCTGAGACGGTTGCAGAGGTGGAAAATAAAGACATAGTGAAGAATGAGGAGCCTTCAGAACATGCAGATGGYAAAGGTATTTCCATTTTTGGGCATTTCTGATAGAAAATGGGCCAGTTGTGGTGCATCCTCTGCCAGCCTCCAGACTGGGCATTTCTCTGAAGTAGAAGAAGGAATTGTTTGGCTCAGATAACTTGATTAGCTGCAGTGATCATTCTAAATTAGAGCCTTTCTCAAGAGGGAAATTCACTGTTCAGACTGAAAGGTTAGTAAGGCAGAATATCCTTTCCTTGTCTTGCAGAKAAAATCAAACCAGGAGGAGATGCAGGCATGCCTGAAATAGAAGATAATGACCCTGCTAAAGCTGAAGATACTCCCACTGGTTAGGAGAAATATTCTCCATTCTTTCACATTTGGGTCTTGGTGATGTATATGTTGTGTGTGAACACCATGTGGTTCATAGTGAGTGCAGACTTTTAAAATCTCTCTGTGGTAATAAAATTCAAGTGGGGTGTAAAATCAGATCATTTCTTCTGTGCTTTAGAGGTTTGAATTCTCAAAACGGAATGTCTTGGATAATGCCCCTCCTGAAATCTCATCTTTTATATTTTCATTAAGAAGACTGTAAAAAAATAGAAGTTTACAGGATTGTTAGAGCAAGACCAGGTAAATAGTGTGTTTGTTTCATGTTAATGCTCTTGTTCCTGTGTTTTGTTCTAGCTTTAAAGAAGCCACTTATTTCAGCTCCTAAAAGTCCTGAAGGTCATCAGTCTGTTATGAATCTTCCAACTGAACAGCCCCACGCTCCAAACCTGGCACCAGGTAAAATTCCTGTTAGCAGGTGACAAGGCAATGTTTTGGTTACAAGAAGAAATCCAAGGATAAATTTCTGCAGGATCCAAGGTTGTGTTCTTACCTAGCTGAGGCACTAGGKCTGCTGTTGTATGATCTCTTCTTGTACCSTCCACTCCAGTAATTTCTRAKCCTTTTGACCAATTTCAGCTACATTTGAGTTASAYRTTTCAAAGATAAGTGCTTCAAGGTCCCTCCAGTGGACAGAGTAATTGAAATGAGTGTTCCTCCTTAGGGTACTAATTAGGGCTACACTACTCGCTCAGGGACTGGTTGTTGATCTCTTAGTAGTCACAGTCAGATAAACCAGTGTTCCTGTCACCTGCTCTGTGTCTTCCTGTGCCTGGGAACAGCTCATTTGAGGGTGACACGGGGAAGGTTTATGACATGAGTGAAACGTTTTGGAAGAATTGCAGTTAGAAAAGAGACAAATGCATAGAAAATGCTCACTCATGGATCAAGTCTCTTTAATGTCRTAGAATGTCAGGTTATACCTGTACCACGGGGGTCTTGTTCCGATCCTGTCMTGCAAAAATTCTTTGTATAACTTCACATTTTAATGTTTCAGGTTTGCCCAGTGACAGTGATGGAAACACTGACACTGTCAAGCAGATCCCTCCAAATCCTCTYCAGCATTTGAATTTTGAAGAAAACRTGGAAACCCAGAATGACCACAAAATTGAGCCAGACCAGATAAAAATCCCAAAGAGCCGAGTTAGTGACTTGCAGAAGATGAAGCAAAGTAAGTTGGCCAATATCACACACTTCAATATATTTTAAAAATCCCTTCATTTTCTATTCTAAGTGCCTATCTGGAAAATAGGGACCATTGCAGAGGGTGGCTTTGGAGAGGGAGTCTGGGAAGGAATACAATATGTTCCCGGGTAAAAGATATGCTTTAATGTGTTTTTTTTCAGGTGTATATTCAGTCATTWAAAAAAATTATTTCCTTATTGGGATTTAAGATGCTTTTGGAAATTACTGCACATTTAAATTGGTTAAGTCAGRACTTTGATACATGCGGGATGCTGAGTTACTCACTTTATTACTTGACTTCATTATGGTCTTTTGGACAATATTGTAAGTATTCAAGCCAAAACTGGGAAAACTTCGGTTGTTTTAGTATAACTCATGGAAGATTGTGACATARTGAGAGCAGGTGTATTACAAATTGTTATGGAACCTGGGCAGGCCTGGCTTCCACTCTGTGTAGCCTGGGGTGTGCAAGGCTCATTATTTTATCAAAGGAGCTTCTGGAGTGAGAGAGCTTCTCATTTCATTTAGTGGATTATCTCTCTTCCTTGGTCACAAATGAAATGGGGGGTGGAGTAGTTGTGTAGAGAGCAGCTGTGAAGGAAATGTCCCCATTGTAGGCTGTGAGGGGGTACCTGAGAGTCAGGAATTGTCCCCTGTTAGTCTCTTCTCTTTGGAATAACTCCCTATTGTACATTTTAATGGTATGATGAGGGAGAGATTTTATCATTAATGGATATAGCTAATCCAGGTTTGTATCAGGTTTCTGTCCTGATGGTCAGTGGCTGTTCAGAAAGGTGCATTGGTGACAAACTCACCCCTGGTGAGGGGTGGAGGAGCCCAGCTCTAGCACGGTGCTGGCACATCTCTGCAGCTGCCACTGTGGGCAATGCCTGTCTGGGTTTTGGCAACTGAGAGCTTTGAAGTAGAGGGTGCAGGGGTGAGGCTCTTCAACCTGGGGAGGAGTCTGGGGACCCCTTAGAGTCCCTAAAGGGGTTCCAAGAGAAGTTGAGAGGAGTCTTGGGACAAGGTCTGGAGTGACAGAGCAATGGGGAAGGGCTTCCCACTGCCAGAAGGCAGAGCTAGATGGGATGTTGGGAAAGAATTCTTCTTTGGGAGGATGATGAGGTCCTGGCACAGGTTTCCCAGAGAAGCTGTGACTGCCTCTGTACCCCTGGAAGTGTCCAAGGCTGGGTTGGATGGGGTTTGGAGCAACCTGGGATAATGGAAGTTGTCCCTGCCATCGCAGGGTGTGGGACAGGATGGGCTCACCAGACTGTGCACCCTGAGCTATGTAGCCTGTGTAGGCCTGCTGCATTTCCTGGGATCTCTTCATCACACTTTAACCTTTTCTTCTGTCAACTTCAATTCATTCAGTTCTTGTTTGTCACAGTATCTCTGGTGTATCCACCAGCTGTTCTTGCTGGAAGTTGGGTACATGCCTTTGTCTTCCATGGCTTGGGTTAAACATGTGCAAATCCCACTGTCCTATCTGGGGTTTGTCGATAATGCAGAGTCAAAAATACCAACAGTAATAGCCAGGATCACTCAATTAGACATGAACAGGCAATGAGTAGTGCATGGAACTTCGGATTTCTGAGCAGATTGTGGGGTTTTTTCTTGCTTGTTTTATGAAAACACCTGAAACTGGTGTTTCTGTGCATTTGAGCTGCACTAGGTGTGATTCTGCTGTCACTCCCCTCATACAGAGAAGCACCATGGTATGGCATCTGTCCTGGTTTTTATATAYGCATTGTTTTAGGAAATAATTTCACTTTTGCATCTGTCCATTTTTAATCCTGATGTTGAAATCATTCTTCAGTTTTACTTCTCTGTTCGTTGCTTCCACTGGGAACCACTCACCACCTGCCCTGGCAGCATTGGTGCCCAGTGTGTAATGATTTTATCACACTTTAATCCTGGTTTTTTAATTTATACATGATCTTCCAGGCCTATGACCCCTGCAGACTCAGAGCTGCTTCCCTCAAGCCCTGGGCTGGAAGACATCTCCCTGTATCCCATTAAAYGCCAGCTCTGAGCCAACATTACACCAGTAATCTCTCACCGTGTGCCTGGGTGATTACTCATKACATATTTCCAGCTATTTCTCGTTTTTCCTATGCATTGTTTCAGGATCTGAAACTATGCTTAATTTTTTGTTGAATGATGAAAATACTGGAATTGGGACATTTTGAGAACCGTTAAAGCTTAATAGGAAAGCAGGGTGTAAAGCCAGCTGGATGAGTTTCTGAGCTGAGGSCAGGCCTGTGCTGGGCTCCCTCCCATGCCAACAGGGCATATCCTGCAGGCATTGCCAGTCAGCAGGGCAGCGTTGGATTGCTCCATGGCTTCAGGAAAAGTGGGTGCTGAGCAAGTGGAAGGGTTTTGTGCTTTTTGAGAAACCTTGTGTAGCTGCCTGTGGGCAGTCCAAGGTGGAGCTGTTGGGTGCTCACTCCAGCCCTTGCCCGTGGAGAGAGGAGCGTGGGACAGTCAGGTGTCACAAGGTTGAGTGCTGGGTGACAGAGCACGTCCTTCCCGCATGGAGGTGCTCCATGAGCCTTGTTCAACCCCTGCCCAAGCCCTGTCCCTTCTCCCCCTCTTTCTCTCCAGCTGGAGCTACCACCGACCCTGACTGCCTCCAACTGCGATCTCCTCTTGTATAGGATCTCCCTGTTCTTTCCTCTCTGCTGCTGACTCACTCCTTTCCTACTCCACAGGCCGGTTCTTTGATGAGAATGAATCCCCTGTGGACCCGCAGCAGGGTTCTAAACTGGCAGATTATAATGGGGATGATGGGAACGTGGGTGAGTATGAGGCAGACAAACAGGCCGAGCTGGCTTACAATGAGGAAGAGGATGGTGATGGTGGAGAAGAAGACGTCCAAGGTGAGCTTGGGCCTTACCTCCATCCCATTGTGATAAATTCATGCTGAGTTACTTGTTGAATTTGTGTAAAGCCTCGCTGGTTTAGCTGACACAGCAAAGAATCTTGAAATTTGGTCTCACTCTCTGTGGGACAGCAACAATGCAACAATCTTGAGTGAGAGGGTTTTGGCACCTTACTGCAGTTGTTTATAGTTCCTGCCAGGAAAAACAAGACTCTAAATTCCCGATGTGATTTACCCAAACCCCCAGCTCTGGCCCCTGGCTGGGAGGGTTTTGGGCCTTGACATTCCTAAATTGTCAAATAGAGGAATGTTGTGGTTTGACTCCTGCTGTTGTCACACCTGCCTGGAGCTGGTGTGTAGTGAGGCCTTAGGTGGTGATTCCAGGTGTCACTTTTGTGCATTGTACACAGATTCAACAGGCTTGTGGTGTTCCTGCTAACCCACCTCAGAGCTCCTGATCCAGTGCTGCCTAACACCTGTGTGTGCATGGCCATTCCCTGTCCTGCATGCAGCTCCTGCATCGCCTCCCTCGTTTGCTTCTGCCTGCCTTGTCTACCTTCTACATCCAGCTKTTTGGGGGATGTTTGTGACAGGCCTGTATATCTGCAGGGTGACAGTGTTGTGTAAACATGGAGTGTATTTCCAGTTAAATGAAAGTGTAAAATAAAGAGGGGGAAAAAGTAGGAAATGGGATGAAAATCCTAGAGGCCCCCTGATTTTGACCTTTGTAAGTTATATAAGTTAATAACTTTTTAGCTGGCATCTAAGCAAAATAAATGGGCAAAGCCAGTAAAAAGTAGCTGATTTTGTGGGCATGCAGCTAAGTGCAGTGTCAGCAGGCTGGGCTGGGCTGGGAGTCTGAAACTCATGAACAAGTGAAAGAATGGGATGGACTAGAACCCATGGTGATTAATTAACTTAATAATGAACTGCAGTGCCTGCTGCTCCAGCTGCAGCCTCTTCTGTGCCCGTTGTGCTCAGCACTTGCAGGGGGCTCCGTGTCACGCCTGTCTCTCTGGCGAGTGGTCCCTGGGCTGGTGGCTGCTCATCCGGTCTGGCAGCTACACAGAGGCATGGGGATGCAGAGCAGCCTGGTCCAGTGGAAAGAGTCTCTGCCCATGGCAGGGGGTGGAACATGATGGGCTTTAAGGTCCCTTCCCAYCCAAACCATCCTGGGATTCTCTGATTCACCGTGTCTTTGTCCATGCTGGGGCCATGGGAGCCATGCTCCTGATGGTGCTGTGCTGTTATGGGTGGGSAATGCGGGGTGTTCTGTGTGTCCCTGAGCCCTGCAAACCTTGGGAGTCTTGTGGGTGGGAGTTTTATGGTTTAGTCCTGTTCYCCTCAGTCAGTGGTGGGTGCTGGCCAGCTCCTTTCTGCAGTAGTTCCTTACCTGGGCTTCAGGATGCAACTCTGAAAATTGTAACTSTGGCTGAATCTGTGCTGGCTGGTGCCATCTGACTCACTCAGCCTKTGCTCTGGACAACCCTTTCTGTGAAGAAATATTCTCTACATCCAACCTGTACCTTCCCTGGCACAGCTTGAGGCCATTTCCTCTTGTCCTGTCCCTTGTTCCCCAGGAGCAGAGCCTGACCCCCACCTGGCTGCACCCTCTTGTTCGGGTGGCAGTAGGTGGCTGCCACATGGTGCAGGGATGCAGCACCCTGTCCCCATCCCATAGAGCTCTTACTGGCCCTCAGAGCTCTGTAAGTACCTGGCTGTGGGGATCCTCACAGGGGAGCTGATGGCTCAGGCAGCAGGTGTGCCATGAACAGTTACAGTGATGTGGGCAGCATTCCCCAATGCTSCTTGGGAAAGGATGGGTGTGATCCAGCTCTAAGTGGTTGAAAAACCCAGAGATTGTGCTTGTGTAACTTGCAATTTGAGTGGCGTTTGAAAAAATAGAGCTCTGACTGACAGTGACCCCATAAAACCATTTCTCATCCAGGTGGGGTCCCTGAGAGGTCCCTGCTCTGGTGACTTGGAGTTTGGACTTGGGGAAGATCCTTTTCCTGATGAATCCCTCTGTGCCTCTGTATAGACAGGCTGKATCAGTAGCTGCTAGTAAAAATTAAAGGCTGACTTCTGGAAGTTTCTTCCTGAGGGATGATCTGAGCAGAGTGTATTGCTACCTCAAACCACATTTCCTAAATGTTCTTTTGTTCCTTAATAACTTGTTGAATTGGTTTGAGCTGTGATTTGAGTGTGGCCAGTGGTGCTTCCAGGATTCCAGAAGTCACTGCTTAAGGGCTTATCCTGTCTGCAGGGCAGGAGAGGGCAGAACTGTGCGGTTGGAGGATGGTTTTAATTGTTTAGGGAGGAAAAAAAAAGAAAGAGAATATCTGTCAAAAACTGTCAGGAAAACATCACCCGGCTCTGCATCAGGCTGAACAAAGCCTATGGCATGTGCCACAAAGCCATGGGATTCCACGTGGTTTTTGTTGCCTCTAGGAATGTGCAGGCTTAGATTGRAATTACCAGGGAAAATACCCAGTTTGGGGGATGTTCCTTGGGGCAGGGCAGCACCCAGCCTGGCTGGTTCCTKTCCTCAGGCACCTGCTGAAGGACATGGGGATGTTTGAAAGTGGCAGCTTCTAAAATGTGTGTTAGCAGTGGCTGAATGGTGGAGGGGGAGTAACTCGGGTATCCAGGTGCTGKGGTGGCATTTTCTTATGGAACAAACCTGTGTCATGGAGAGTGCATTCCAGCCTTCTGCAGCTGGAGGAGCCCCTCAGATCACTGCCTGGCTGCTGAGGTGGTGGGTATGAAGATGTGGACAACTCCAGGCAGCTCGGTAGCTGGTGGGAGATAGCTGAACTCAACTTGGATTTCTTTTGCTGTGAACAAGAGTCTTTCCTGATATAAAGGAATAGCTCTGAGGTGCAGGAGAAGCTCATTTGTGGGAAAAAAAAAAAAAAAAAAAAAAAAAGGAGGTTTCAGGGGTTTTTTCACTTTTTGATGGGAGAAAGCCCTTGGTCCGGAAGGGGTTTCAGTGACTTCCCTGTGCTAGTCCTTGAGAGGTCCCCAGCCTCTATGAAGCCTTACAGTGTCAACTCATCTTTCTACAGCAGTTGGGCTTTAGTGGGGGATTTTGAAAGCTTGATAGGCAGTCTCAAAGCCCAGCAGCTGGAGTGTCTGAAGTCAGGCAGTGTATATGGTGGGGCTGCCCTGCAGCCAGAGATGCCCACCTGGAGCGCTGACAGCTGGCCTGGAAGTGCAGCCACACATCCTGTCCCTGCTGGCTCCATCCCATCATCAGCCCCAGCTGATGCTGTGCCTTTTAGCAGCATGTCCCGGGGAACTTCACTTTGATATTTTGTCAGTGATACCACATCAGATCTGATCTGATCATTTTAATTGTAATCTAATTACAATCTGTAATTGCAGATGATGAGGAGCGAGACCTGCAGAATGACCTGGGGGACTACAGCAAGTCCCGCCTCAGCGATGGGATCCTGTAGGCCCTGATGACAGAGAGCTCTACCCAGGAACTTGAGGTGCTTCAACACTGAACCAGTTTTACTCATGTTTCCTACTTCCAAGGATGCTGAGGATCAAGTGCCGAGTGTGCTCAGCAGCAGGTGAAGAAGACCCACTCTGTACATATGTACATATTTGTACTATTGCAGGTTGTATTAAACCCATAATGGAGCTGGTTACTCAGCCTGTTCCTTACCTGAAATAATCTTTACACTTAAACCCAGTCTATAAACACAGGCTGAATTGTTTCTGCCGTTTAGAGCACTTGGAACCTGGAGAACTTGTACAGTTTGTATCTGATGTAACAAAGCCACTGTGGAAGCCATGTACAGCCAAGGACTCCTTTTCTACAATCCCAACCTGTGTGGCAGAACTGCTGCTCTCGAGTGCTGGGTTTTGTACAGCAGGTGAGAATGGAACATCAGAGGGACTGGGAACTGAACAGTTCAGTAACTGCTCCTTCCTCACTGCAGCCCAGCACCATGTCCCATTGAACTCCTGTATAATGACCACATCTTGTAGTTAGAGCTGGAAATCTATCATAGGACTTGCATAATTTGATACATCCCAAAAAAGTTGTGCAACTAATAGCTTGATTTAAAATGTATGTAAGATACAAATAATTGGCAGCTTGTAGGAAACCTTTGTGTTAGAGACAGCAAGTATGTGAGTCAGAGACAAATCTCCAGCACCCGTGTCAACCCCTTGATGGAAGGACCAGCCTTTACCCAGGTAAACATGCTGTAGGTGCTGGTGTGCTGTCCCAGAGTGTGCATCCCAGGTCCAGCCACTCCAGTTAATTTCCAGTTTGATCCCTTGATCCTAAACACGTACCACATCCCATCAGATGTGGTTTTCTCCATCAGATCTGTAAGTCAGACCCTTTTCTGTATTCTGTGTTCAAGCACTTTTAGAATTGATGGAGATGATTCCATTGCTCTGCAGTGGTGGGAACAAGGGGATCGTTCCCCCTGCTCTCCCTGGGCACTCAGGTTGTAGGCCCTGATGAGGGTGATTGAACTCATCCCTGTGCTCAGGTGCTGGGCTGCAGTCATGGGTCAGGTTTGCTCCTTGCCAGGTCAGTGAACCTCTTAAATAAAGTTCAATGCTTGTACAATTATGTTACAGGTTTTTAAGACAATTTATTACTACTTCAAGTGTCAATGGCAAAAGAAAATTCCCCCCAGTTTTCTGCATTTAAAAAGTGAAACTGCAGCTCAATGCCATGTCTGGTTTCAGCTGAACCTCGTGTTGTCTGAAGGAGTGCAGCATCACATGGCCCAGCTTGGGAAAGCCCCTAAATTAAAGAGCTACTTCTGAAATTTTTATATTAAATGATACTATACTCACAGCTTCAGCTGCTTTTCCCATCCTTGCCTATCAACAGGACCATCACTTTTGTGCTCCTGTGCTGAAGCTGGGTTGCTCCATGTTCTTCCTTCTCTGCCTTTTTCTTTGCATTCCATGTTTTTTTTCCATCAGAGTGATTACTCTGCTTCACCCTAGTGAGGCTACATCTGGAGTATTGTGTTCAGTTTGGGCTTCACAGCTCAGGAAAGACAAAGGGCTATTGGTGAGGGTCTAGGAGGCCACAAAGTTGATARGGGGTCTGGAGCATTTCTCTAATGAGGAAGGACTGTGGGAGCTAGGCCTGGGTAGTCTGGAGGAGACTGAGAGGGGATCCCATCAATCCATACAAATATCCCCAAGGGGTGTCACAGGATGCTGCCAGACTCTGTTCAGTGGTACCCACCCAGGACAATGAGCAATGGCCAGAAACTAAAACACAAGGACTTCCACCTCAACGTGAGGAAGAACTTAAGGTGGCAGAGCACAGGAACAGCTGCCCAGGGAGGATGTGGAGTCTTCCTCTCTGGAGACACCCCAAACCCACCTGGACACGTCCCTGTGTCACTTGCTGCAGGTGACCCCGCCTTGGCAGGTTTTTGGACTGGATGATCTCCAGAGGGGCCTTCCAACCCCAGCTATTCTGGGATTAAAGTATCACAGYTCCTTTGCATCAGGTGCTTTTTTAATGCTGATTCATCTCTGAATTCTGGCTTCTCTTTCCCTCTGAGCCATAATCTTTGTGTCTTGGAGTCCACTGCATCTTTCCCRGAGTACAGCTGGATACTCAAGGACAACTCTGCAGCATTTCATCCTTCCCAAGGTGACTCTGGTTTTGATCCACTGCTCTTCGTTGCTGAATCTGGCCAGAGTTTCATTCCTGCATATTCCACTATTCCTTCTTCCCCTGCATTGTCTGCAGTAAACCTGAGCATTCCTACAGGCTTGGGCCAATTCTGTGCAATTGAGCTATAACTTGAAGGTCTGCTGGTAGATTCCAGTTTGTATCCTAGAGAATTCCAACATGAGCAGTAGCCAGGTTAATTACAAAACATCCTACCCATGCACCCAACATGAACACAAGTCCTGAGCCATCAGGATGGTTGCAGGCATTCCTTRTTCACTGGGAGGAGTTTGCCCATCCAAGCCCCAATATTCCCARTTTCTCCATGCACAGGGATCCTCCAAGCTATCCAGGACTTATCACCTGGCTGATGATTCAGACTCGCCTTGTTCTTCCAGCTTTGGTAGCCACTTGTACAATACTCCCCTTGGGCCACTGMTGGTGCAAGGTAGGCCAGGTTCTGCTCCATCCTGGAGGGGAAAAGGACTATTTCAGCATTCTTGCAGCTCTGTGAAGACACTCAGCTGAATTCAGTGTACCCATATCCCTTGGTGTATTCCGTCCTCTTATTGCTGAGGTCCATGGAAATGTCTCTGAGCAGCATCCAGCTCTCCATCAGMCTTGACACGCCACAGAATGAATGGCCAGTGCCCTCAGAAGGGTCCCACCAGACTCTGATCCCTCTCTAGTTCTCCTGAAGCTGATGTGCTGTAAGGGAAGAACCTGGATCCTGCTGGCATTGCATGAGGAGGAGGGCATTAGGAAAACTGCAGGCCTGAAGGAGAAACGGGAACAGGAAGGTAGGACTGGTGGGGGCAGGAAGCAAGAGGAGGCACAAGTGTGCAAGAGGGGAGATGGCTCAGAACCTCCAACAAAGGCACTACAAACCAAAAATCAAGGAACGTGACTCAAAACCAGGGATGCCTTCTCGACTTTTTTTTTACTAAACTGAAAGTTGTTTGACAGAACAATTTCCCTTAGAAAARAAATTCTTTAAAGATTGGATCACTAAATAATGAAGGGCAAAGTGCTTGGAGACCTACATAGGATTATTAAAATCCTTAAAAGTGTTCCCACCAAGATCCATGGGCTACCCTYCAACCAAATATTTTTCCAAAATACAGAGGAACCCAAGTCCGGTGGGGGGTGGGGTACTAACAGGGGGTAAGTCTAGGGTGGCTTTGGGTACATGGAAGAGAASTGAATGCAATAAATGCTAATGAAGGTCTATCAAACACCAGCCCATTCTGTAGAAACACCAATCGCTTTGGATTCACAGGCACACAGCTGTCCCTGCAGCCGGGCTCTGCTGCACCCCTCAGGCTCTGAGCACTGAGAATGACAAACCAGCTTCGATTTATTTTGAAAATGCAGTTCTGACATCCCTGTGCCGTTTGTGTGGAACCAACTCCCGTTTCCATGGCAATGGCAGCACAGACAACGCTGACAGATCTCGAGCAGCTGCTTCCCTCAGCACCCAGCGAGACTGGGACTCCAACCGGCTCTCACATTCCAGGGTCTGGAGCAATCTGACAAAGCCTCTTCCTACCACGGCCCAGCCCAGATTTTAACCAACACGTCCAGGTAGCTCCAGCAGTGCACCCAGACCTGAATTTGAGGCTCCAGTTATAAATCCCTTTGGATCCACAAGGCAATGCATTTGAAACAAGGAGCAGGGAGCTGAGATTCAGCTGCCAAGGCTAAGGGATGAGTTCAGGCAGTGTGAGAAATACAGGCACTTCCACCCAACAGCCAGAGAAACAACTCCAGTTACTCCAACCAGTCCTAGCTGCCCAATTTTGGAGTTCTTCAGCAAACACACTCTGTGAAAGTTTTCCCAAAGTCACATGCTTTCCACAAAAACAAAGAATCRGTGATGAACCCATTTTAATTTAAAAATGAGGAAAACCAAACTGATGGGCAAGATCTTGTCAGAAGTGGAAACCCAGTTCTGGATGAAACAAACCCCCACATTTTTCAGCATYTTAATAGCCATAAAGAGCTTAAAATACTTTGAAGTGACAAAACCAAACAGACACAAGATAATAGATTTTATTAAACGTTATCATACTGCACAACCCAGCAGTAGTGGGAGATCCAAAGCCTGCAGGAGAAAAGAGCTCGTGAGTGAGGGTTCTGCAGTAAAACACAGAAAGGTTTTCTTCTCTATAATACTGCCCMTGTTTACAGTTCACACACCAGAGAAAGCTAGATTGAACAATGCTAGCTCACTTGGAGGTTTTGGAGAGCTGAGAGCTCAGGACCAATTTCACCATTCATACACATCTCTGAAGAAATTCTGGATTTGAAAACTTTCTCCTTTMTCCCTATTAAGGAGAATTTCCACATGCCATGAATCTGTCAGCTGTAAACCCTACTCCAGGAGATACACAGAGCTTYACTAACCTGTGACCCAAGTATGGAACTTCCATTAAAGTAACTTGGGATCCTTCYTTGAGGAGACTGAGCAAAATATTTGATAGGATCAAAAGTCTRTCTGTGATGAACTAGAAAATGTAAGATTGGGCACTTTAAAGGAGGAGCAGTATCCTGCTGTTGCAGCTGGATCCAGGACTGAGGAAACCAGATTTTTGCAGTTTAAATAAAACAGAAAAACAAACCCACAAAACCAGCCAGGGCCATCTCTTCCTATTTATGAGAGTGCAGTGGAATTTTCAAGCCCGCCAGAAACAGTAATGATATTTATGCCTGAACTACTTCATGCCAAAATAGAAACCATAATACTCTAATTCCTCAACCTATATGAAGCCCTGTGCAGCCACACTGGGATTACTGGTATGGATAATCTACAGTTCAACTTCCCAAAACYGGGTTTGACCACATGTGGCTGTGCATTTCCATCCCTGGAGGAATGTCTCATGCCACTCTCCAGTGCTGCACTGTGCCAGATCAAACACAAGGTTCATTCCCATGTGTTTCTGTGGGGACTAGGAGCAGATGAATCCCTGTTGCTGTCAGCTGRAGTGTCTGCAGCGAGAACAGCGAGTCTGGAGCTGCTCCTGGACAGCCAGATTGGCTYCCAGACGTCGGGGATGGAGGAGCAGCAGAGCCTGGGAGCTGCTTCTCTTTTAACTCTGGYCACCTATCCAACAGAATTGATTCCCTTCAGAAAGGCAAAAGAAACAGCAAGCACTGGAAACGGGCAACAGTAAGATATAAACCCAAAGAAAACGCAGAATTTGCTGAGAAGTGCCAGATACTGAAGTTAAACTGAAAGTTCAATAAATTCCACCCAGCCCTCAGCTACAGATGCTGCAAACAGCTGCCCAAGACACTGTGAACTCCCCCCACATCAGCTCCGCACAAGCAGGGAACTCACTTGGAGCATGTGAGTTTATATGATGTGTAAACACAGAGCTAAGGGTCCGGCAAGACTCAGGGAAAGAGCTGAGAGGAAATCCTAAACCATGAGGAATGGCCTTCAAGGAGCAGTCAGGATCCCCACGGCAGGAAGGGGTAATGGTCTGACAACTGCATGTTTCCCCTTCAGTTTCTCTGTGAAGTGAAGCAAACATGCTCCTCAAATGTCTCAGTGTGACTGGAGCCCAAATCTTCTGGCAGGGGGAWGCCCACTGCTGCCAACACAGCCTTTTCTTTGGCCCAAATACACATTCCAAGCTCTGAAGGCTCCGTGTGCTGGCACAGGGCTTTTACACATCACACACGGAGAAGAGGCTGTGCTCAGGTACAGGGATGTGATCAGTGGGGAGCAGGGTACAGCAGGGGACCTTTGAACTTCTCCCTGCACAGCAACACCATCAGCAAGATGATTTTCCATATTCCCTTTCCTGCCAGTCTGGCCCGTTCTCCCTAATTCAGCATCAGAGAACTTGAGCAGAGAGAGCACAAGGCGCTGTGAAAAACATATTTTGATATCCCATAACACATAAAAGGCCAGTCCTCATTGC